TCTAGGTTGGGAAATAAAAATATAAAACCATAGTCTTACTTTAGGGAGTTCACAGTTTATTTGGGTTCAGCATATGGATGTGTGGAACTCTAGCAGTAAGCACAGCAGAGGGACACAGGCAATTAAAGATAGTCATAACGGCTTGGAGCAGCAGGAAGGGAAGTGAACAGAGACAGAGTAGATCAGGTGTGAAAAGTTCTCTGTGTTGGTGTGGAGCTCGAGGTGATAGAGAATAATGGTGAAGAGAATAATGGGGCAGGGTAGTTGCATTTGGACAACAGACTGTCTGAGATTCTTAGTGTTCCTGAATTCCACCTCCCATTCTCTGCTTCAACAGGTTGAATCTAAACAAGTAACAGTCTCTCCAGTAAATCAGAATTGGGGGATATTGTGATCACTATGAAAGAACCTTGGTTTATGCGCAAGAAAATATGCCAATGTAGAGGGGGCCATAACTAGGAAAAAGATAGATGTGCAACAAAATTGGATTAGTGAAAGAAATGTATATCTTTCTCTCATATGCAGAAATGGTATATAAGTCTGATTTAGGAATAAGATTTTCTAGTAAAAGAAAGAAGGAAAGAAAAGAGAGTCTAATTAAAAAAATATATATGTATTGAATTTAATTATATACATTTAATATACACAAAATAAATTTCACAGAGAATGTACTCCATTTTTAATTGCAGGAGAAATTTTTTTCTTTTTTAATCCTTGGATATGTCTTATGAAAAGGAAACAATAACTAAACCCAAATGTTTAGAGTGTTGCAGAATGCCTTATGGGTCTTTGACAATACTCTAAAAATATCAGTTGTTGAATTTGGCAAAGTCTGAGAAGAGAAACTGTTTTGCCTTTTGTTTTTTCCTAACATGAAATTAAGGTTTTTCCTTTGGTGATGACTTAAAGCTCATTGAGCTTTGGATAGTTTGATCAGCCTAGTTTATTAGAGCATCTCACCATACTGTGATTTGGTTACAATCTGTATAATAGGGAACTGGAGAGAGTTCTACTCATTATTTTTTAAAATATAATTTAATTTATTTTTTATTTTGGCTGTGCCATATGGCATGCGAGATCTTCGTTCCTTGAACAGGGATGGAACCTGTGCCCCCTGCAGTAGAAACGCAGACTCCTAACCACTGGACCACCAGGGAATTCCCCGGGTTCTACTCTTTAAATGTGATAGTTTAAACTGGGAGTAATTCATTGCATTGTCTACTATCTTTAGGAAACGGATTAGACGTGTATTGTAAAGGAAAGAAAAGGACCACAGGCAAGAATAAACTACTTCTGCAGAGTAATTTGCTTTGTAAACATGTAGGAAAGTGTTTAACAACGTAATTAGAGTTGTCTGTGAGATCTACTAGTCCTAGGCTTGCTGACCTCTCTAAGTCCAGCTTATGGTCAGCATGTTCTTCAAATCTAGGGGACACCATTCAAATTGTATTCTGTATGACTTTGGCACTTAGAAGCCATCTTTTGTGTGTGTGTATCACAAACTCTGGATGTACCTCAGATTTTAGCTACCTGTTGGGTTCAGAAGGACTATTTCATAAAACAAAGATTTTCTGTACATACTTTTTCTTTACTGCTTTAACTTTTGTTGTGGTTCTGTTTATGGTAGTTGGTTTATTTGAAGAGTGTTTGCACTTGTTAGGAATCACCATCCTTTGTTACAAATGTCCAGTGTCTGTAAAACCATTACTTTTTAAATATTTTGCCCATTTTTTCATCATTTCTGATGAAAAAGTAAATTCAATCCCCATTCTTCCATCTTGGCCCGAAGGGGAAATCCTGACCTCTGTCTTCCACATCTGTTCTTAGAGCCCTTGACATTTTTGTCAGCCTCATCAGACCATCTGAATCCTTGACAATTTTCTTAATCTTTCTCAGTACAGTGACTCTTTCTGGCTTCACCTATACGACTCTCTACTTTTTACTCAAGAGTTTATTAATTCATTGTTTTCTTAGTAACCTAGGTTTTCATACTTCATAGATTTTGATTTGTGTGCCTGTTATTCCTCAAGTTTGTATCTATATTACATACCTGTTTTTCACCCTTTCACATGCCGCTTGGCCCTACCTCTTACTCTAGCCATTGCCATGACTATTTTCTGAAAGCTTTGAACAGCTTTGCATAAGTACATTTGTGCTACTCTTTGCCTCAGACTGGCACCTCAGACCATACTTCTGACTTTCTGTTCTGCTGTGGGCACCACTGAAGTAATTTTTCAGGGTGCAGGAACCTGCTCTGGGCTCATGAGTCTGTAACCCAGAAATGTGTGGAAATTAATGACTCTGGTGGCCACCCTTGACCAATGAGTAAGGTTGATGATGGGGAAATGTTTTCCTGTTTAATCCCTTAGATTGACTCGTACGCAGGAGGCCCCTGGAAGACTGAGCACTGGCTACCCCGAGGGAGTAAAGGCAGCAGCTCCGTTTCACAGCCTCGTATTGGGTTTCCTTCTCCCCAGCAATGCCATTGTCACAATCCTCTTTATTTTCTCCCCTCGACTGCTTTATCTTCCCCATTCGTTTCTGTGCTACTGAAAATTGTAGAAAATAAAAAAACTCTCTTGACTAGATTTCCCAGTAGATCATACCATCTTATCCAGACTGGGTTCATTTTCTGCCAGGTGATCCAACTGGTCATCTTGTGTTTAACTGCTGCCTTAATCTTTCATGTCTTCATACTCAAAACTGGCCACCTTCACACATATTCTTTACCTGAGCTGTTAAGAAGTATAAGACTTTACAAGATTAGCTTCCGCATTTTCTTTCTTCAATACATCAAAATGATTTTGAACTGATTCCTCCTCTCTATAAAAAATACTTAAAATATCTTTAATATACCTCTACTTTCTAGTGTTAAAAGAAGTGACATCAATTATTAGAGTTAATTTCCCCAACTATGCTCTTGATTACCTCCAATCCTAACTTCTCAAGTCTTTACCAATCTTCTCAATCTTTTTTTAATTTCCAGTGCCTCCTTTTGCTGACTATAGCTATGTTCAGATCTCACCTGTAATGGAAGAAAACAAAACACAAAACCAAAATCCTTTTTTTTGACCCCATTATTATTATACCTATTAACCATGAGCTTTTCTTGCCTTTTGTATTCAATGGAACATTTACTGAAACAGTATTCTATTTTATTACATATTTATTCCTTAAGCCCTGACAACCTAATTTCAATCTCTACCACTCTCCAGAAACTACTGTCTTAAAGGTCAGTGAAGGATGAAATAATCATTAAACCTCATAGTCTTTCCTCAGGCATCCTCTCTGATCACATTCCAGCATGTTCCAGTAAATTCCAGTTTTCTTCTCTGACATTGTGAAAACTTCTACCTATTTAACTTCTTCCTCTTTGCAGTTCCTGATCAATACCTTATCTACTCCCAGAGTTCTCTGTAAGTTCTTTCACGGACACTGATTCTTCTCCCACACTCCATTCTTGTATTATTTCTCATTTCTTATTGTATATTTCTCCTGCACAATGAATTGGATGTCAAATTTAACTTATCTGCAATGGAGCTTGTCATTCCCACTGACTCCCTTCGTATCTCAGCTGTTTCTTGTAACTTCCTTGTTTTTGATCAGTAGTGCCTTTCTTTAAGACACCAGTGGATTCCTAATTCCTCTTTGCGTCTCCCATATTTGGAGAAGAGAAAGCAAGGCACTGTGATTTACATACACTATCTCATTTAATCCCCACAGCAATTCATATTTCATATATAAATAAAGTAAGACCCGATGTGGTAGGGTGAGTTGCCTAATGTTTCAGAGCTGTCTAGGGATGGGAACCATGTCTGCTGGACACTGAAATTCATATGCTTTTCAGTGTGTAACAGAATGAAGACTCTTAAACAGCAGTGTATCCTGAATCAACAAAGAAATATTCAATTATGTTTGCTATTGTATTTATTAAGGAAGGAATGAAGACAAAAATATATCTTAGAAAGACTGTGAACCTTCAACAAGAGATGAAAGTAATAAAGATTTTCTGTTAGACTTTGTGTTATTAAAATGGTGTTAACCAGAATAACTTCTTTCCCAAATTCCTCAATCAAAGTTATGTTATATACTGAGCTGTATGGTTGTATTATATACTAAACTGGGTATATATTTACTAATATCTTTCATGTTGAGGTCAGGGTTAGAAATAGGTTTGGGTTTTTTTTTTAAGTATGTATTATTAATTAGATATTTATCAATGCTAAACTCAACTCAACATTTAAAGAAAATTCTTACCTCTTGGGCTTCAGAGCTATGTTAAGTTTGATAACTAAGACAGAAGAATCTAAAGTTAAAGGGAGGTCAGTAGCAGCAGTTAGATTATAGTGTGGAAATGTCCTATAGGTGTGCAGAGTGGGAAATTACGTGAGAGCCTGTAAGTATGGATTGTATTCTGGGCAAATGATGCATCCTCATCAGGCAATTGCGCACTGAACAACTGTTGATTAAGTACCATTTTATCCAATTTAGACCTAATGCTTGGTAGACGAGATCCCTGCTGGATTAAGGAGCAAGCAGAGTCTTATTTTGGGTTCTGTGCCATCTAGGTCAAGAAGTTTACAAAGTGTTGTGTATATTTACTTGGTACAAGAATGACACAACTTTCTTACCCTTCCTTCTGTTAATTCCTTAACAAATATTTATGGAATATTATTTGTGCTGTAGGGAGTTTCCATTGGTGCGTGGTAGATAGTGAAATAAAAGACTTAGAAAACTGTTCCTTGCCTCTGAGGAGTTTTAGTTCCATTTTTGCTAATTTTCCTGAATTAGTCTGAAAGACAGTTTTTTTTCTAATCAAAAGGATAAAACATTTTGTTTGAGTCTAAAGACAAAGTAACTCTCTCCTCTAGCAAGAAGATTGATGAAAGGTCTTTAATAAGAGGGAAAAGGAATGAAGACGTGAGGATGTGTTTTGACTCTGTACTCAGTCTCACCTACCTCAGAGGTGCAATGACACTGGTTTTATTTGGAACTTTCAGGAAGGGGTCCGGATCACCATTTTGCAGGAAATGCAAAGGATGTGTCAGAAGAAGCCCATGTCTGCCTGCCCTGCAGGGAGGGCTGCCCCTACTGTGCTGATGACAGCCCCTGCTTTGTCCAGGAGGATAAGTACTTGCGACTTGCTATCATCTCCTTCCAAGCCCTGTGTGTGCTGCTCGACTGCGTGAGCATGCTGGTGCTCTACCGCTTTCGCAAAGCAAAGGTAAACCCAGGTACCCTGGTTACCTTTCTTTTTATTATGAAAGGTACCTTTCTTTTTATTCTGGACTGACCTCTTCTTTCCTTTTTTTTTTTTTTTTTACATCTTTATTGCTTTACAATGGTGTGTTAGTTTCTGCTTTATAACAAAGCGAATCAGTTATACATATACATATGTTCCCATATCTCTTCCCTCTTGTGTCTCCCTCCCTCCCACCCTCCCTATCCCACCCCTCCAGGTGGTCACAGAGCACCGAGCTGATCTCCCTGTGCTATGCAGCTGCTTCCCACTAGCTATCTGTTTTACGTTTGGTAGTGTATATATGTCCATGCCACTCTCTCGCTTTGTCACGGCTTACCCTTCCCCCTCCCCATATCCTCAAGTCCATTCTCTAGTAGGTCTGTGTCTTTATTCCTGTCTTACCCCTAGGTTCTTCATGACATTTTTCTTTTTTCTTAAATTCCATGAATATGTGTTAGCATACGGTATTTGTCTTTCTCTTTCTGACTTACTTCACTCTGTATGACAGACTCTAGGTCCATCCACCTCATTACAAATAGCTCAATTTCGTTTCTTTTTATGGCTGAGTAATATTCCATTGTATATATGTGCCACATCTTCTTTATCCATTCATCCGATGATGGACACTTAGGTTGCTTCCATGTCCTGGCTATTGTAAATAGAGCTGCAATGAACATTTTGGTACATGACTCTTTTTGAATTATGGTTTTCTCAGGGTATATGCCCAGTAGTGGGATTGCTGGGTCATATGGTAGTTCTATTTGTAGTTTTTTAAGGAACCTCCATACTGTTCTCCATAGTGGCTGTACCAATTCACATTCCCACCAGCAGTGCAAGAGGGTTCCCTTTTCTCCACACCCTCTCCAGCATTTACTGTTTCTAGATTTTTTGATGATGGCCATTCTGACTGGTGTGAGATGATATCTCATAAGCAGAAGTCTTTCTATAATATGATTGGACTAGAGTGTGAAAGCTATATTCTTCAGCTTCGCAGGAGAAATAGGAATTGAAAATGTGAAACTTTATTATAACGTTTTCTTGTACAGAGTGTTTCTCCCTGTTTACCCTGAAGCTCAAGTACCTCATTGCCTTAAAGGACTCTTTTACATCATCTCTTCAGACTCTAGAAGAACTTATTTTGCCAGTTCCCAATATATTGTTAATTTTTTCCTAGGTAGAAAGCTTTATGATATTTATTGTATTTCATTTTAATTTCTCTTAGCCATATTTGAAAAGGGTAAATGGATTCAACTGTTTCTGAGCACATTATACTTTGAAGAATGAATTTATTCATGACCATACATATGGTCTTGCATTAGTATCCCAGAATGATAGTGGTCCTGCACAGAGCTTATATGGCTTTTGAGAGAGGCTGTCCTTTGGTTCTGTTCTGAGGAATCAGAGAGTAGTATAACCATTTGTATGCTTCTGACTTGGGGGTGGACGAAATACCAAAATATTCAGGGCAAAGCTTTCTGGGGAGCTGTCTTTAGTTGGTCACCCAATTAACTGTATGCAGCCGGTGTTGTGTCAGATTTGTGGTTCTGTTGCTTTCAGAAGCGTATTTGTACCATTGAAAAGAAAAACAAAACTTGAAGTTTCCACCTTTTCTGAATTTGTATGACCCCTTCCTGTTAGCACAGTTGTAGAGATTGGTTTAGATTACAGAACTCATTGAAAGTATAAAGTGTTCCCATTAGAAATTAAAAAAAGAAAACAACTCTCTGTGAATGGCATGTGTTACAAAGCCTCAAATTAACATTAAAAAAACCCACCTCTTTTGAGATTCTAGGAGAATGTATCCATTATGTTAATGTTATAGACTTTAATAGTTATTTTAAATAGTTTCATTAACAGAAGCATACAACAAATTAGAATCAAACTTTATATCAGCAAGAAAGGTGCAAACTGGCAAATTGCTCTTCATTTAACCAATACTTGTCATTCTTTTGCAACAAAATATGTATTATATGTTAGATTGTATATATAATAAAGTAGCTGGCCAATGGAATTGGGAAATATCTAACCACCGTTACCTAGATAAAATTAATTGCTTATTAAAAAGCCTATCACTGGCAGAGCAGGTAGAATTGAAAGGTCTATTTAATAAACTGCTCTGAAGTATCTCTATATAATGTAATTCATTTACACAGTGGATACCACAAAATTCTTTATGAATTTTAATTGATTTTAATCATTAATGATTGTTGTGCTAAATTGAGTTAGTGATATATGACGGTAGAATATTACACAGGATATTAAAAAACTAAGATAGTGCTTGCTAGACCAATGTCTTAATCTATGGTAATGTTACTTAACATTTCTAAAGTTATTAACCTTTTGAATTTCTCTGCACCTTCATATGAAATGCTGCTTTACAGGGCTATCATGAGAATAGATATCTTTACATGTCATTTGGTGAAATTTCTGTAGATACAAACTAGTTGGAATACATAAATTAGACATTATCTAGTTTTAAGATGGTCACCTTTTGAAGAATCAGTTGGTTTTCACAGAATGTGACATAAGGGGGAGATATTTTTAGGAAAGAAGTTTAAAAAGTCAGTGAACATAGGTCTCATATGTTCACTGTTTCATGAAATTTTATCTTCCTATTTCAATTACCAGAAGCAATGGATTAATTGTAAAAGCGATAAACCATTTCCAGGATAGAGATTGCATGTTTAGGGCATGTAGACTTTGGCTTTGCTTTTTAAAGTTTTCACATGTCTTTGCAACATTTCTTTGGATTAAGCAAAAAACTGATGACCCCTCTTGGAGCAAAGTTGATGTTTTCCTTATGAGTTTCCCATTACATTCTTTACCCACTGATAATTAAAAGAACAAAAACCACATAATAGGTCAGTGTACATCTATTCTGACAAAAGAGAAAAAAACCTTAGTAGCAATATAGAAGTAACATTGCGGACAAGTGTGCAGACTCTGGAACCAGATAATTTAGTCTAATTATGAGTATTTTAAGTTAAATGAGGTTTGCTCATGCCTAAAATACCAACTCTGCAGTTGGTAGGTACCAACAATCATTGGTCGAAGGTTAGTTTAACATTTTATCATTTTAAACAACACAAACTAGATTCTGCTATATTTTGGGGTGAGGCTGGTGATACAGTGCCACAAAGAGTAAATTAAATTTTACTCTGCACAAACATTTAGAGACATAACTGTATACATTTGCCTTTGTGCCCTGGGTTAAAGATTAAATCTGTCAATAAACTGTGAGCGATTTTAAACCCAGTAAGTTCTTCTAAAGCAACAGCAATTTTTACAACAGTATTTTAAAGATTCTGAATATTGAATATTTGGAACTTATTTCTATTTTTATTTTTTTTACCAAATATTATGACAAGTCACATCTTTTTCTATTAGCTATTTTGAAGAGAGAGCATAGTTTCTTACAGCTTAATAATGTGAAGTGTTAGTACAATTTATTTTCAAGTGAAAATTTGAAAGAAAAGAAGGTACACTGGAACAGCAGCTTATTCCACTTCTGAAAATAATCTTTTGCTTGATTTAGTCTTAGTAAATTTTAGCATGTTTTGTTTGAGCTTAGTGGTTTGGAAAAAATAGTGATAGTCATTTTTTAAAGTGAACATACTGCAGTTTGTATTTTCCCTTCCAGGCCTGTAATAGTTCTTTTTTTAAATTAGAAATTAATTGACAGGTGATTTTATAACTGCTCATTTTTGGTTTGGAAAATCAGATGTGTTAATGTAGAGTGTGGCTGAAATTCTACTAGGCTAATTATGATGTTTTATTGCTTTTTTTGTTGAAAAAAAGGGAGATGTATTACTTTTTTATTGTGGTAAAATATACGTAACATAAAACTTACCATTTTCTACCATCTTTAAGTGTACAATTAAGTGGCATTAAGTACATTCACATCACTGTGCAACCATCACCACTATTCATTTCCAGAACTTTTGCATCATCCCAAACCAAACTCTGTAACCATTAAACAACTCCCTATTCCCCTAACCCCTGGCAACCTTTATTCTACTTTCTGCCCCTATAAATTTGTTTTTTCAGAGTACCTCATATATAAGTGGATACACTGTTTGTCCTTTTGTTTTTGGCTTATTTCACCTAGCATAATGTTTTAAAGGTTTACCTATGTTTTAGCATGTATCAGAACTTCATTTCTTTTAATTGATGAATAATGTTCCATTGTGTGTATTTACCACATTTCATTTATCTGTTTATCTGTTGAAAGAGTTGTTTCTACCTTTTGGTTATTGTAAATAATGCTATTGTGAACATTGGTGTACAAGTATTTGGTTGAGTCCCCGATTTCAGTTATTTGTATATAACCTAGGAGTAGAATTGTTGAATCACACAGTCATTCTGTGTTTAACTTATTGAGGAACTACCCAACTGTTTTCCACAGAGGCCAGACCATTTGATATTTTCAACAACAATTCATGAGGGTTCCAATTCCTTCACATCCTCACTAATACTTGTTATTTTCTGTTTTTGTTTTTGTTTTATAATAGCCATCCTAATGAATCTGAAGTGAATTCTCATTGTGGTTTTGATTTGCATTTTCCTAGATATTAGTGGCAGTTGAGCATCTTTTCATGTGCTTATTGGTATATCTTCTTTGCAGAAATGTCTCTTCAGGTCTTTTGTTCACTTTTGAATTGGTTGTTCATTGCTGAGTTGTAGGAGTTCTTTATGTATTCTGAATATTACACTTATCACATAGATGATTTGCAAATATTTTCTCCCATCCTATGGGTTGTCTTTTCATTCTCTTGATAGTGTCCTTTGATGCCCAAAAGTTTTTAATTTTGATAAAGTCCAGTTTACCTACGTTTTCTTTGGTTGCCTGTACTTTTGGTGTCATATCTGAGAAATCATTGCCAAAGCCAATATCATGAAGCTTTCCTGCTGTGTTTTTTTTCTAGGATTTTAATAGTTTTAGGCCTTTTATCAGACTTCAATCCATTTTTAGTTAATTTTTG